TGGTGTACCTGAACCCCATTTCTACCAGAGCTACAACAAGTGTTGCTTTCGAGACATTTATTGTATCTTTGATCTCATCTTGTATTTTAGCACACGTCGGTGGGATTTTGCGTTCATACAGTTTATAAACTGCATGGCATATGACACCCTTATCAAAGCTATCCAGTTTGTGTTTCCTACCTGGTTTTGATTGATTGAGGTAACTGATTTGTTTACAACTTTGTTAACCTGACTATATGTCAAATGAAGGGCTTTACACATTCTATAGTAAACCCTGTCATAGCTGACGAGAGGTTTCCCCCTTTGTTTCTCCAGTATGAAATACTGGTATAAATTTGAAATTAATTGTTCTGTAGAGATATCATATTGCATGTTCAATGCTCATACACGAAGTGAAACTTCTATGGGTGAACAAGATTATCTATGCGATTTGAATTAAGACTTTTTTACGTAATTATTTTGAATATAACTACTACAAGAGTTCCATATTTTTCACATATCGATGTTAAAAAAAACCAAACTTTTTACAATCATTTATGTAATTTAATTAGTCGAGGCTATATGAATAATTATAGTCTGTATTTCAAAACTGCAGTTTGTACTTACGGATGTTGTTAAAACGTCCAAATTTCCTCCTGTGAAGTCACCCCTCAAGTGCATTTTTTAATCTGAGCTTTAATATCCAACTAGGTAGAGTTGTACATGTATCATATATGTGCTTTTATCTTGTGTCAAATTCATCATATTGATCTTGAAACCAAAAAGCATGGTCCATGCATTTCCGGCCTTACTTTAAGAACCAGCTGCCGGGGCAACCAGATCGTCCGTTCTACGTTCCGGCTTTATCTAACATCCTGGGTCCAGATGACACACACGACTTGTCCTTGTGTCCGGTCAGAGCACTGAGGGTCTACCTAAATAGAACTGTTGAGAGGAGAAGGAAGTTCAAGCGTCTCCTCATCCCGCTGTCTCCCGCCTCGACTGTAGAAGTCTCTCGGACGACCATCTCGTTTTGGATCAGAGCGGTGATCCTAAGAGCCTAAAAAGCAGCAGGGTTACAGTCTTCTACAGCATCCAACCCCCACGAAGTTAGAGCACTAGCCTCGACACTCTACCCACCACCCATTCTGTTGGATTCGGTAAGCAAATAAGCATGAGTCAGGATAAGGAAAAATATGTAATTTTTATGATAAAATTGATATTTTATACTTATCCTGACTCATGAGATGAAGCCCTCCCAACCGTCCCATCTCACCACTCGGGCTTCCCTGTAAGCTTATGGGGGGGTACGTTCGGAGACAGTGAGGACAAGGCATGCAGAGGTCACGTGGGTGCCTTTGGCGGGAAAACGGAGGTAACTCGAAGGTGAGTGATTGTACGTTCGCTTCAAGGAATTGAAGGGATTCAATTTCCCACTTAATCGTTCGGAAGAGGGGAATTAGAAAGCAAATAAGCATGAGTCAGGATAAGTATAAAATATCAATTTTATCATGAAAATTACATATTTGATTGATGCAACAATAAAATAGTCGAAATTCGAAAATTTGGAAATAAATCTTGAAATATGCAGTTACTTCTTTGCGTTCTATCATTTAGGTTTCGAGTGAAATGTATGCGCGAGTACTCTGGTGAATTAATATATAACTTCTAACAACTTCAAAAATATTTATCAACACACGCAAAAAAACACTTACACAACAATGCAGAAATTGAGTAGAATATCATAGAATAGAATCTATAGAGCGTCTCCCCGTGTGTCAAGGAGGTGAAAAGTAGCGTTAACAGCACACAGTATCGAGGTACTACCGGAACTACCGATCCCCTAAACTACAAACACTCCTACACCCTAGCCCACTAACAGGGGAGGTGGGGTCACCAAGTGGTTAAAGCGTTTGCTCATCACGCTGAAAACCCGGGTTCGATCCCCCACATGGGTACAATGTGTGAAGCCCATTTTTGGTGTCCCTCGCCGTGATATTGCTGGAATATTGCGAAGAGCGGAGAAAAACACCATACTCACTCACTCACTTCCCCACCGACATACGTGCTTTGTGACAAGACAACCAGTCTTAATTTCTTCCTACCTGACCGTCCCCATGCTAAGGTCATGTTTGTATCAATCAATTTAATTGAGAATAGTAAAATATATATTTAACCTTTAGTCTATGTGGCTTTTATTTATCGATTTGGATCTTTAAATAATACATCTACTATTTCAGATCTGTCAACTTTGTGTTACAGTGGCGAAAAATCCCGTATATTATGGAAATCCCGAATATTATGGAAACCCCCGGAAAATCCGCGATCTCTGTGAAGCCAGCAGGTGGGGGCATCTGGAGACTGTGAAGCAGCTGCTTGCTGAAGGTCAGGCTGACATCAACTGTAGAGGGGTGCAGGGCCTGACACCGGTGATGTGGGCAGCATGGCGGGGGCACAGAAAACTGGTAGAGTTCCTAGTAAGCAGAGGAGCTGATACGTCACTAGTGACTGAGAGTGGAAATACCATCCTTCACTTGGCATCTGATGGAGGGAATCTGGAGACGGTGCAGTTGCTCCTCTCAAGGAAGAATGTGGACATTGACGCTAGGAACAAGTATGGAATGACAGCAGCAGCAGTGGCGTGTTGTAATGGCCATCAGAAAGTGAAGGATCTCCTGCAGTCCTTTAGTGGATGACTTGTGTGCAGACATGGAAAAATAATTGGTGGTGGTGGTTAATGTCGCATTCTGCATTATTCCAGCTATATGACGGCGAGTAGACCAGGCAATACATGAGCATCGATCTACACAACTGGGATACGATGACATTTGTCAACCAAGTCAGCGAGTCTGACCACCCGATCCCTTAAGTCGCCTCTTACGACAAGCATGGGTTGCTGAAAACCAATTCCAGCCCGGATCTTCACGGGTTAGAGAAATATAGTACAGTCAACAAAGTTTATAAAAACACGCTCATAGCGAATTGCTTTGGCCCCCTAGCCATATGGTGTCGAAATGCATAGAACGAAGTACGGTTATAACGAACTAATAGGGTCCATTTAAAGTTCGTTATAACGATAGTTTTCTGAAAGTGTTTTGTTACTTTTTAGTATTTGGAACTCGGCACGATCAGGTACGAATCTTGTTGGCTTATGTAAGTTATTGATGCTGCATAAAGTGTGCATAAAAAACTCACCCCATAATTCAATCATGTGTTCAGATTATACTGATATAGTTAATCGTAAAATAGACACAGTATACTGTATGCATATAGTCTCGTTTCTGTCAGAGCCCGAGTTCTCTCAGCGGCTGTCTTGCGCCAAATCAACAACCCTGCTGATATCATGAATTAGTGTTGTTTTTTTCCACATGCTATTATTTTTAGAAAGTTTACACCTTGGTGTATGATAAAAAAAATATATCATCATACGCTGGATGAGATCTTTGTCAAAATAATTAAAAAACGTACCTTATAAAATCTGTCTTTTTAGGAATGACTAGGAAATGTTGTACGTTTGTTACGAAGTGTGGCAACAGAAATAGAAATGAGAAATATTATTGACATTACTCTGCATTATTTTCAAAATTAATACTTTATGAAATCTAATATATTCTTGTCGAAAATACATTTGATAATATTTTTCATTAAGTGAGAGTATGGTTGTACGCAACATTTGTTAATCACGCCGAGGTCACCAGAACTGAATTCTAATATTAAACCCATACGGGGAAACGTAATTAGATATAATGCTTTAACAATCTTATGGAAGAAAATTCGTGTGTTGTGTCACACATTATAAGTAGTAGTAGGTCATAAGATAGCGAAACAAACCTACCTTGATGCCTATGGCCGTTCGTGTTATGGACCTTTCTATCGCCTAACCCTGGTTAAATACCATTACATAGTGACATGGATCTATTTATGGTCATATTCCCGGAGAATACAATTGACGTCATTACATGCCTTTACCTTACTATTGTTTGATTATTTATAGATAATAGGGACGTTTTTAGGTTTCTTTTTCCGCGAAAAGGTATGGGTTTCTGGGTTGATATCAGACTCACACGAAACAGGATGAGTGTAAGGCTGTTGTGAATTTAACACACTTTCTGAAATGGTATTGTGTATTTCATAGCTTTTGGCCGTGGGAGCCGTGCCAATTAACACGTATCAGAGGGGAACACAAAGTCCGCAGTCTAGACTACCAGTTGTCCGACTTCCATTGTTTGTGGAAGCCGCGGTGGCTGAGCGGTCTAGGCGTCTGACTTTGTGTGCTGGCGATTAGGTGCCTGACTCTGAGAGCGTGGGTTCGAATTTTGGATGGGACTCAACCCAAAAAGTACTAGAATCTGTGCTTTACTAAGAAACTGTAATCCCAAATATAACATATCTTACATTTGACCACTTTCTAAAATGGCATTGTGTATTTCAAGGGCGGAAGTGGGTTTACATCAAGGTGAAGCCTTCGTCGCACTAAGATAACACAAATTGAATACTTTTGAAGATAGAGAGAGTTGTTTGCTATAGAGGCTCACAGAAGATTTAAACTAATAAGAAATATTACATAGTAACGTTAGTACACTCATTCAGATATTTTTGCTGACCATTTTATGTGCGTGCTCCCAGCAGAATCTCTTTCTGTGGACATTTTCTAGCGTTAATTCCTTCTGTTAGTTATCATGACAATTTGGGACGTTACTGCCAAAGAATTCGCTACTTTAATATTGTGGGAAGAAACATAAAACAAGGTTATTTTGGAAAGTGGGATCTCTGGGCGCGCGCGCAGGAATGAGTTCAAACTTCAGTCAGTATATGGCATGTCATTGATTTATCACAAATCCTTTGAACGGATATTATTAAAATATATCACAGCATTACCATTATCATTTTGCATCGAGATATGACATACATTTACTACATATAAACGGTTCTCACGACGCAGAACTATACAGTTAGTTGAATATTAATGATGACGGTGTAGATGCTGCTTTAACTTCATTCAATAAAGGAAACACATTTGATTTTGTGTTTCAAATACTGTGTTTATTACATCAACAGGACATGTAATGACCGAATGCTAAATGTACTATTTATGATCAGGTGAGAAAGAAAGACTGGGCACCAAAGCCAGGTCAGTTTATTAAAAGCATTAGCAACATCAACATGAACAGTGCATAGCACATGATCTCCAGTCGAGGTGAGTCAACAGATGTACTATTTCGGAAGACATTTCTTCAGTTTCAGTATGTTCTTCCTTTCAAATGATTCGCCAATCCCGAAATCTATAAGTTCACCATCTGTGACCTGAGAGAATAGATCCCCATCAATACGATGTTCCTGGAACAGTGGGATGTGTTTTGCTAGGTTCTTCTCCCGCAGAAGACCAACAATGTCTTCTTCAGTGACGTCATAAAGCTCTGAAAATGAAACCACATGTGTAAGTTTATTTCCTAATTGAGACCATATTAACCAACACAATGTTTGCTTACGTCGAAGTTTCATTGTTGGTGTCAAGGTTTGTTTCGACAGTTTTATTAAACTACATGTACATATACATGATCTTTTTTTAGTTTCAATATATAAGTGTGCATAATTGCGATTGTAAAACGTTCGAGTCTTTAGTATGATACACGCATAGTTCATAAGCTGTTGACACCTAATGCAGTATTGATCATGGAAGAAAAGAATATATAGAATATAAGTTACGTACTGAAAAGCGAATTGACTGGAGATTTACCTTTTCCTCTGAAGTATCCAATGTGTCCTGATCTTCCCTCTGTGACCCCTTTCTTATCCACTGATGCGTCTCGCATGTCCAGTCCACCTACGACACTTCCAGTGTGGTATGTTTGCTGTCTGTTTTCTGGAATACCGTATTAAATATATCGTTAAGAAGCCCATCGTTTGCATAACAATTTACAAATAACATCCAGTCCTGTCGATCTTCGGGTGGTCATGTCACATTTAGACATTTCATGCGATGGCTTTTCTATGGGTATCACACTCTTTAACATATATCAACATAAACATTATGAAAGAAAGACATGTAAGGTATTAATCAATAGATGAGACACCCTCAATACGCATGAAGAAGCATGACATATCATTGAGATGACCCAAGTTTTGCCCGATTTTACGAGTAAACATGATTTTCTGGATTTCCTATGACGCATCCCACTGAACGCCCAGTTAGTCCGATGTCGGTTATTTCGACATATGCTACATGCAATTGTGAACAATTTAAGGATACAGACTAACAGATTAAAAACAGTTTGGGTTTTTTCTATTTCCGACTGTACTTTAGCATATAAGTACGTCCATCTGTACAGGTAAACTTCAGTGGTGGGTGATGCCGGTAGGACAAGACCTGTTTGCCCTTCTTAACGAACACCTGTCATATTGTAATGAACAGTAGCCTACAAGCATCACTCACATGCAGCCACTGTAGTCGTCACCATTTGCCCATTTGACCTTTGACCATGATGTCCCATTTACCATGTAGTGAAAAGTTCACGGCACGCTAAAAAAACAATACTTCGACCCCAGACACCATCAGTGGCATGTGCAGCCGCTACAGCAGAATGTCAGTGAATTTCAGTGATCTGTTCGACACCTATTTTGCCTTTTGCATCCAGATTATCTCCGTCGGATAATGGAGACGATATACGGAAGCGTAGTAGGCCCCTGGTCAAAAAATTGTTTAAGTTTCATTATCTCCTACGTAGGTCATAGTATCTCTATGATACGTAGGAGATACTCTGCCCTACGTAGGAGATACTATGACCTACGTAGGACTTAGTATCTCCTACGTAGGAATTATTAAGTCCTACGAAAGGCAAAGTCACCATCTTCTTGTGAATAAATATTACAGTTTGTCGAGTTTGTTCCATTTCACATCATGGGGATTCTGTGTCAGAACTAGACCCCATGTTTGGGGCTGTGTATTGTAATTGTGTTTGAATATTTTTATAATAGAAGGTCATAATTATGATTGTGAGGTTCCCTAATAATTGTGGAGGAGAAATCGTATAATTGTATTTTTCTAGTTTTAATAAATGTTTCATCAGCATTTCCATCACGTCTGTTGTGTTGATATTAGTCATGTTGGTGGCCAAGCTGAAGTAGTGCGGCAGTGTTGTATACGTGCGCAGTGAAGCGCCGTGAAATCAGACGCATTTTCAATCCAAATTGATACCGTCTGATTTTAGTGATTGACCAATCAAATTCGAGCATTTCACATAGCCATGGTAGAATTTTCATTTACAATCGTTAGTTTTTACAACAGCGAACAATTAACCTTCTCACAATGGATTTTCAAATATCTAAAAATACCACCTAATGTACTTCCTTCAGATTCCTCCATACTCCTGCTTATTGTAGTTCTTCGATTTGTGATATATGGTGTCTACAACAGTCACCTATTTTCTGAATGTGTTTCGGTTTTTAATTCAAACATATTTTTAATATATTTTCTTTACAGTTTACGGCTTCAAATATAGCTTTTGACAATATGCAAAACGACTTGTTCTATTTTGTTCATTGCGTTTTAGCTTTAAACAACAAGAACGCCCAACTGTAATACACTTGCATCTAGCCTATTCATAAAATGCACATTTATTCGGGTATAGAAAGATTGTAAATAATGTGTTCTATTAAGAATATTGCTTTTTTTGCTTTAAATAATATGAATGCCAAACCGTAATACACTCACATCTAGCCTATTCATAAAATAACACAAGTGCAACACAGGATCAGATTCGTTATTATTTTCAAAATCGCATATTTACATTCATGATATGACATAGAATCGGCAATGGGGTTTTCTATACAAATTAAGTGATTTAATATGCGGCAAAAACGTCAAGTGGGAATCGAAAATAAGACCCAGAAACTTGGCCTCCTTTACAACTTTGATAGGTGTGCCGTTTAGAAATAGTTCAGGGTCTTTATGTGGTTTGTATTTACGGCAAAAATGTATGCAATTAGTTTAGGACTTAGAAAATTTAAACCCATTTTTTTTCTAGACACCATCTATTTATTTTGTTTAGACATAACTGCATTTGCCGTTCAATAGTATGCATATTTTTGCCACGACAAGAAATATTAAAATCATCCACAAAAAGAGATCCATCAATTGAATCATTTAAAACCTTTGATAAACTGTTGATTTTGACACTAAATGAAGTCACAGACAAAATACTACCTTGTGGGACACCTTGTAATGATCAGACAGGGTAGAACCTACCCGGACTTGAAATTGCCTGTCAGTTCAAAAGTTGGATATAAATTGAGGCAAACGGCCTCTCAATCCAAAATCGTGTAAATCTCTTAAAATACCATGTTTCCATGTTGTGTCATATGCTTTTTCTAAATCGAAAAAGATCGACACTGCATGTTGTTTTTGAATAATGGCATTTTTAACAAAGGAGTCTAAACGCACTAAATGATCGATGGTACTTCTGTTTTTACGGAAACCACATTGAGTATCTGTTAGAAAGTTATTAGTTTCCAAGTACCACACAAGTCGATTATTTATTATGCGTTCCATGGTTTTGCAAACGCAGCTAGTTAATGAGATCGGTCGATAATTCGAAGGATCAGTATGATCACGCCCAGGTTTAGGGATGGGTACAATGATAGCATCGCGCCATGAAGAAGGAAACTCTCCAGATGTCCAAATATCATCGAAAATATTCAAAAGGGTCTCTAAACATGATTCTGGTAAATGCTTCAGAAGTTGATAATGGATGTTATCAGCTCCTGTAGCAGTATCATGGGCCTGGTCAGGAGCAGTATGGAGCTCATGAGTCGAAAATAACTCGTTGTAATCTTCCCCATTATCTGAAGTAAAATTGATAGATTTCTTTTCTTGCTGTTTTTGATACTTTTGGAATTGGGGTGCATAATTTGAGGAAGAAGAATGTTGTGCCTGTTTTTTCTCCAAGTTTATTAGCAATATCGGATTTATTAGTTAATAACTGGTTTCCGTCTTTGAGATGGTGAATGCTAGATCTAGAGCCCTTACCTCTTATTTCTGGATCATATTCCATACCTTAGAAATAGGTGTTCGGGAATTGATATTAGATACATAGTTTTGCCAAGATTGGCGTTTATTTTGTTTGAATGTACGCCGTGCTTTAGCATTTAAGATTTTAAATTTGTTCAAATTGTGGACCATAGGATGATGACGGAAATAATCTTCAGCTTCTTTCCGTGCCTTCCTAGCCTGTTTGCAATCAGCATTAAACCATGGTTTCCGTATGTGTTGAATTGTAGAGGACTTTGGGATACACTTATCAGCTATGGTGCTTAATATGTCAGAGAAATCTTTTATAGCATCAGGAACAGTAATAAAACGTTCACGTTTAAGTTTGTCAGTACAGAGTTTTTCATATAAAGGCCAGTTGGCCTTTTTAAAATTCCATCTTTACGATGGAGGAACATCATTTGGGTTCACAGGTTTTAATATTGTTGGGAAATGGTCACTTCCACAGAGATCATCGTGGACTGACCATTCGAATTCACTCAACAGGTTGGAGTCACAAATAGACAAATCAAGAGCTGAATATGTTCCTGTGCCAGGATGTAAATATGTCTTTGAACCGTCAGTATAAATACATAGATCATTATTTGAGATGAAATCCTCCAGTAATTTACCTTTGGTGTTGCCATTAGTACCACCCCAGAGTGGGTTGTGGCCATTTAAATCACCCACGATCAAGCAGGGTTTAGGTAGTTGATCATAAAGAGCTTGTAGATTAGTTAACTGGATAGCAGATGAAGGTGGAAGATACAATGAACAGAGAGTAAATGCAACTTGTAATGTAAGTCGCACTGCCACGGCTTGGAGATTTGTTTTGAGTGTGACTAAGCTATGGATGACATTATTCCTCACCAGGATAGATGATCCACCAGTAGCTCTGTCACCTGGGGGAGGAAAGTAGTGATATGCATTAAACTGACGTAGGTCAAAATGATCCGTCTGCTTTAGATAGGTTTCTTGAATGCAGAATACTGACGGATTAAGATCTTGGACTAATAGCTGTAAGTCATTAAAATTAGCTCTGAGTCCTCTACAATTCCATTGAATTATTGGAGAAGACATTGTTTCTTCCGCGGAGGATGTACGGGAGATCTACTCCTCGCTTTCCTTGAGGGTGACAAGCTATGTGTCCTACCAGAGCTATGGTCAGACACATCCATGTCCTCAAGGGATCCAAACTTATTATAGAGCTGGATCTCATCATTTGAACCCTTAGCGAGTCTATCGCTTTGGTTGAGTCTATTTATTTTGGGGTTTCCTTTCACAGTTTGCTTAACCTGAGGTTCTTGTACAGTTTTTGATGGACATGAATCTTGTCTGGGTTTGGGACTGTAGGACCGTCTTGTGTCTGGTTGTGTCTTTGGACACGCGGGACCCTTTTTGGGAAGAAGAGATATATTTAGATGAGGTCACTGTAGCAGGTAACACGTCAGCAGTCTGTGTAGCAGATTTTCCTTGCACTGACAGTTCTTGATTTTGGGACAAGTACAGGAGATGTAGAATTAGTCCATGTCAGCTCTGCCTGACATTCGACTGAAACTGTGGTCGTGGATGTTCTTTTGGTAATTGAAGCATAAGATTCACCTGGGTGGACAGTTGGTACAAGTTTCTTAGCTTCAGCATAACTGATGTTTTGACTGTGCTTTATCTTATTCACCTCCATTTCCCTCTTCCAAACAGGGCAGTCCTTTTGACGACGAGGAAAGTTTACCCGAACAGTTGACGCATTGTTTAAAGTTGTTGGTATAGTCTTCTGTGACGTGTGATTACTCCCCACAATGAGCGCAAGTTATTGGGTTTGTACATGAATTTATCCCATGACCAAAT